CTGCCGTCTCAGGCGTTGGGTGAGCTCCTTTAGGGAGTTGACCTTTGCAGACAAGTTGGCGTTCTCACTCATTATCGATTCACGATCCTTCAAGAGTTCTCCGATGCGGCCATGGAGTGACTGGAAACGATGGGTGAGGGGGAGAGAAGATTTAGCAGTTCCGAGTTTACGAACAGAAGTGACAGATAAGAAAACCAACTTAGCTAATTCTTACCTGAATTTGCCGGTTGAGCTCGCCAGAACGCAGCAGGTGAGAGTTTCGTTCACTTTCCAGGTTATCAGTCAGCACAAGTATCTTCTCGCGTAACGTCTGCACATCCATCTTAGAACACAGACAGAGGGAGGGGGGTAGACCAACGAAAACAGAAAGTATTAGATTGCCAAGAGTTTAGAAATTACTTAATTACATTCCTCCAAAATTCAATTTACAAAAGAGGAAGAAGAGGTATGACAGCTGCCTGCTCCTTATGTCATCACGCACAGACCTGAGAATTAAAGTTGCATCGTTCTGTGCTGAAAACCAACTAACATAACATAGATCTTCAGCTAGCAGTAGCCAGGCGGTGCTAGAGGACGCTTACAACGAAAAAAAAACACTTCAACAAGCCGGAGTAACGAGTGCAGGGCTTTGGCATTTCCGCGTTCAATTAGCAAGGAAAATGACCTAAGAAGCTTGATGAAACGTTGACTTTGTATGTGACTACGGAAAGGACACTTTGGTTTTCTTTAGCGCAGGAAAGTACCTGAAGCGACAAAGTGCATTGATGAAAAGTTTGCCATAGGCATTGCCCTTCATCCCGTAGCCATTGACTAGACGCGGGTGCAAAGGTCGACGCATGTCACTCATCCGAAACCAGGTATGACTGGGAAACAGCCCTCGGTCAAAAAATTGTGGACGGATAAGATGAGAGCACAGCACTTGCCCTGAGATGTTCAGTGTATATAGTAGCGTGATAACTGGTTAAGAGGTCCCTGGGAGACTGTAGCTGACGGACTGCAAAAAAGCAGGCAAAACCGTCTGAATCTGTCATGACAGCGATGGCTAGACTCCAGCCAAAGCAAGAGAGTAGTCTAAGAGGGAGAATACCTTTATGATTTATCTTCATTTTCGCGACCACCTATATGGCAAACGTGTGATTACAATTAGATGCATGAATTATATCATACAGCCATCTCTAGGCCTGTATGATGGAAAACATGTATCAAATTCTAGCACAAAAGTAAGCCATGTTGCCCGAAGACCGAGCTCTTTATGGGTCTAAGTCAAATGGCATGTCTGGCAGATTGGTGTGGTTCTGGCATCTACAACTCGTATCCAGAAATAATAAGCTATCGAGTTGGTTGGGAGCTAATACTGTTCTGGATGAGTAGGACATACGCAAACGTATATTTTACGGTTATTAAAAAGCAGAAAAGCCCGAAGACGAGAAAAACCGGAAGAGGTCATGCATATAAGCTTAACTAGGCACTATAAAGCGCATTCAAGAATGAAGAACAGTTAAAAACTGGCAGCACAACATAAGTGGTAATGGAGAAAACATCAAAAATACTGCTTAAAACAACTGATTCTAAATTGAGAGTCAGTGGTCTAGGTAAAAGCTGTAAAGGCATGACTCTGCCTTCAAAATTCAAATTCTAGACGACGTAAGCCAAGAATTTACCTTGTAAAGTGATTGAACAGACAGCAACTCTTGGGATAAAGATCCATTTCTATTGGTCAAATCTTCCACCAGATGACGCGCAACAACCAGGCGTCGCTTCAGACGAGTAACCTCGTCCATATTTGGTGATTCAGGCCGAAGGGCCTCATCAACTGAAAGAGTATGTCTGCCACTTGTAGTAAGAGGCGAAGGGGTGCGAAGAGAAGATGGTGGCCGAGAAATTGGGGGCTCGGCGGCATTCTCTTTCTCAGCGACCTCATTATCGCCACCCCAGCCGGCTTCATTACGCGGAAGTATTGCTTCCGACTCCCTTTCCGGTTTTAGGTTTTTGGACTTAAAAAGAGAGAAATTGGTTTTGCTGACAGAGCAGCTTACCGCAAGGTTTAGTGGAGTTGCGTCTGTGAGGTCTAAGTCTGCTACCCGAATAAAGGCCGATTTCGAGGCCTCCCGAGACTCCGCCTCCAACATGCAAATTTTAACTTCCGCGTTCTGAAGTTTCTGCATCAACTCCATCAATTCTCTAGAAGCGTAAAGAAAAATAGTGATCAACTAAAAATTACACAAAATCAGGTTGAAAAAGAGCCAAAATCGGCTCTAATAAATTAAAAAGTATACAGAGAAGATAAAAGGAATATAAGTTACACTCTAGTTCAGCGAAATGAGCACAAAATTAGGATAATTTTAAAATGTGCAAAACGGTGGGACGAGACTTACGCTTTGTGACAGTTTTCGCGTTGGACAACTTCATTTTCATATATGGCAAGCTTGTTTTCGGTCTGCCGCCGTGCAGCTTTGCACTCCTCAAGTTCATCCACGAGGGAATCATATTTTAATCTCCAATCTTTGGACTATAAAGGGTACTTGAAGGACCTACCTTTTTCTACATCCTCGAGCTTGGACGAAAGGGCGGCATTGTCGGTAGTAAGCCGCTCATTTTCACTTTTGAGAGAGGAGATTACCTTACTAAACATCGATTACACGTAGTAGGTAGACATACGAAGCCGAGCTTAAAAGACTGGCCCTCGAGCGCATTTCTTCACGTACTTGTGCGTTCTCAGTTTCAAGCTCAAATATTCTCTAGGCCAAGTAAAAATCTAAGGGAAACATACAGATGCAAGACTTTCTGGATCGCCTCGGATCTTTTTATATGATTGTTCGTAATTGTAACATAAAAGCCGGAGCCTAAAATTCTCCCTACGTAGGGAAGCAATCGCCAACAAAAGTTAAACTTTAAGTAGTTCGTCTTACTTCGTTTTCTTTTCGAAGTGTTTTGTGTTCAGAACCTCCATACCGCGCCTCTAGAACGGCCTGCGATGCCCATTGACTAAAGGGCTAGCCATAAAATATTATTAATTACTCATCAGGATCC